CTGCTGACCGATACCCAGCCAGTTCCTGAGCAGCGATCGCTCCCCCTGGCCAGCTCCCTGTGGCTTATATGTTGAGCATGACGTCACATGGTATGGAATAGCCCTTTGGGCAGTTTGGATCAACTATTCTGGCTGTGCCCCCTCCCAGTTTCTTGTGCACCTGGCAGAGCATGGGGAGCTGAAAAGTCCTTGACCAGTGTCAGTACTACTTAGCAACAACTAAAACATCAGTGTGTTATCAGCATTCTTCTCCTACTAAATCCAAACCACAGCACTATGCCTGCTACTAGGAAGAAAATTAACTCTATCCCAGCCAAAACAAGGACAATCCAAAACACAGAACTTTGAAAGTTAGCACCATCTCTGTAATAGAGTAGGGGGAGGCAGTTGAGTGTTGACAAACTACCACATAGGTGTTTTATACTGAATAGGGAATTGAAGAGAGATTTTTCAGAAGTATTCTTCATTTCATTCTTTGTTTTTTTTCTAACTTTATTTATCTACATTTAAGAATAAAGTCTTCTTAGTCTGCTCAATTCATTAAGATCATCTGACTCTAGAAGTAGGATTCATTGTTAACCTTGGACAATTTTGCATTAATTTAAACATCCACAAAAATTCTGGTCCTAAACAAGGAGCCTGATGAAAATGCAGCTACCAGATCTTTTTCATTACTTCACTCTTACAGTGGAGTTCATTACTTTACTCTTACAGTGTATTAATTTAATTTAAACAAGCAGCTTAAAACTTGTGTTGTTAGCAGAAGTTGTAATTGCTTAAAATAATTCTAAGTGCCTTATGTATTGGAGTTCCTTTCCCAAAGTTTTTTGACTTCTAGTTCATGAGCTTTTAGGGTCACAGGAGGAAAATGAGTATGTATACATTTTTTTTATATGTATTCTGTATTTTATGTTTCTAGTTTATCATTAGCTATAGATCTAATGAAGTCTGTGATTTTCATGCGTTATTTTTTAACTTTTAATCCATAGGTTTGAATTTTCTGGGGATGAGTTTTGTGTTCATGAGGATATACATAAAAGTGCACAGTTGATTTTGCGTACTGCATTTTACCAATATGTTTAGCATAAAATACAGATTATATATGAACATTTTTGACAAGCCTATCCACTGTGTGCAAAACCACTTTGTTAAAGTTGATTATCTTAATATTCACCAAGCTTTTATTTAGTTTTCTTATTCACTAAATTAATTCTATTGCTTATGATTTAAATATCCTGCTTAACTGTATTTTTACTTATACTGATTCATTTCAGAGTGAACCTTTATATGTTCCTGTAAAGTTTCATGATTTGCCAACTGAAAAAAATGGCACTAATAATAGTGATGCAGAGAAAAGTGAGTAAAGACTTTTGGAATGCTGAAATGCTAGTTCTTTGGTGAAGGAATTGCTTTCCTCTTTGTTGGTATAACTGCTGTCATGTTGCAGGACTTGCTTCCCCTCCCCCTCTTTTTTTTTTTTTTTTTTTTTTTTTTTTTTTTCAATTTTTTTTTTTCTACCTTCGCCACACAT